ATGATATGTCAATGAGTGCGTATGTGAAACTCAGGAACAGATTTCGGCTTTGAGACGACTCCGGACATTTCTGAGACCCCCTCGATTGCCTTTTGAGCTCTAATGTGATGCCAAAGTGAGAAAGATCTCAGAGTCAATGGTCCCCAATGGTTTTGAATCCTTATTGGTTGAAACGGCCCCCAATCGTCCCCATTAACCAAAGTGGAGGACTGGGACTTGCAAGATACGGACCTGATCTAGATCACTTTGGGGCTTTTAATCGACTCCAGTCAAATGATTGGGTCTTTGGAATCTAGCGGATGGAATCAACCAGTGAGCCCTGAATGGCCCTGAGCGCAAAAGACTGCTGGCAGCTCTTCATGTTTCATTGTTTTGAGTACGATGGACATTGGTCATCGTTGACATCGCCGGACATCGATCGACCTCGACGGGCATGAGTCAAGCTGCAACGGACCGTGATCGCGCTTGCCAGGATATCGTGTGGCTTCCACCTACGGCGGACTTACGGGGTCCTCAATTTGAGCACATTGGGCTTCATGGCGTGTGGCATGGAATGACATGATAGATGCAAAACATACTGCAAAACATTTCAGTTCTCTAGTCGACCCCAACACCGACATAGTAGATAGACTTTGACCGACCTCAACGGACTTTGTAGATCGATTGACGTAATTAATAGATCAGCCTGTGCAAAGGACCTCGTTCGGTCTTTTCATAATAATGATTCATCATGAAGCGTGCCTGTGTGGCTTTGACCTGCGAGGGACTGTTGGGGGCCTCAATTTGAGCACGTTGGGCTTCATGGCCAATGAGACGATGTCCAGGGTCAAAGGTCAACAAAGACTGAATCGATAGCCACCTGGGCCCAAAACGACAGCAGCTCAGTTTACAGTCAGTGTTCTTTTGCGATGGAGTTGAAAGATTTGGACTTGGACTTGGACACTCGCCTGTTGAAAAGAGAAAGGCTCTTGGATGGCCTCCGAATGGCTTTTCAAAGATTGGGAGTTGCTGACCTGGTGCTACCAAACACTTCTGGGAGCAAGAGAAAGTTTGAGAAAGCCGCCTTTCAAGCTAGAGAGAACTTGCGGCGACTCGCAGCCTTGATTTCCATCCAGCACCATTTGGAAGTGATGCACTTAGAGTTTGAACATGATGACTTGGGCCACACATCGCCACACACACACAGTTGAACACGGTGATGTTTTGTGTGCGGCTACAGGCTGATAATTCAAGCACGCCACCCATGCAATTAGGATTCGTGTCCTATGGCAGGCTGGATTCAGTTTCAGATTCTCAAGCAGGAATGACATGTAAATCGATGACCTAGACGGACATCTAAACTCTAGAGCAGTCGTTTCCACCTGCCAAGAAAGGATTGAACAGTTAATTTGTGCAGCACCTTATCTAACTTTCTGGTGGTGTAAAACAGCTTTTGCAGTCTGTGGAGAGTTTTGAGAGATTTGACGTTCATGGAAGTTGCATGGTCCACGTGAGTTGATCAGTCCAAGTCCGAGTGTATTTGAAAATTTGGAGTTTTGGGGTGGATCGATCTTTTGCATGGTTTGTGGTCCAACGGGCTTGATCGTACTTTTGCAGCATGAAGCGAGCTTAGGTTATATTGCTTCATCTGGCTTCGACCTCCGACAGGCCGTCCGGGACCTCAATTTGAGCATGCTGGCAATAAGCTGTTTCAGTACTGTTCCAGTCACCTTTGTGTAGTCTTTCTCTGCGCAAATTGTGACCTTTGAGTTGTGATCCCTTGGCACTGTGCTTCATCATGAGATTTGCGACCCTAACAGCCGCAGACTTGCTCGTCGGACTGGCCCTGCGCATGTGACCCATGAAGTCATACATCATGATGTCAGGTGATAAATGATATATTTTATTCAGGTCAGATCAGATTTTGCTTGTGGACCGGAGCTATGGCGAATCAAATCTTGCTGATTGCCTGGGGAGTCGAGCGCGACTACAAGACCTGCTTCTTGGATTGAATTAATCACATCAGTTGGTGCTTGTTTTGAGTAATGAGTGCTCGAAGTTTGTTTTGGCTTCTGCTAAGTCCATGGTTGGAAGAAGGGCAAGGACTTCATGCCCGGCTTTTGCAAAAGCATCTTGGCCAAAATCAATCAATACGATACAGTCCATTCATTTGGCCACGATTGGCTACTGCGAGTTTTGTTGATGACAGTTGACAGTTGACAGTTTGACAGGTGATACATAAGTGGCACTCCGCTAGTTGCCTAAGGCCCCAAAAGTCGATTCAAGTCACTTGCTGTCCCAACCTGTTTGTGACCTTTGACCCATTCCTTTGTGAAGCGATTCTTAGGGAAATCTCATTCATCTGACATTTGAGTCACTCTAACTATTCAATATTGCGGCGCATGAGGCAAAGCACGCGAACACACACAAGTGATGGTTGACCTGCGAAAGATCATGAAGCACAACCCTGCAGATGATGAGAACGAGGACCTTGACGAGGATGATGAAAATTGGAAAAAAGGTGCCTTGGTCAAGTGTTTTTAAGTGACTTATGGTGATTGGGTATGATTGGGTCATTTGTGAGCTGAGTCATTAAGTTAGCTGTCTGAGTCTGATTCATTGTTACTGGTTGTCGAGGAAACGTCCTGGAAGATTCCAAATTCTTGGAGTTCATGGCCAAGCAGGAGGGCTGCAAGCAGGCTGTTCAGTTTGCTTGGGACATCGTTCAAAGCCATCTCAAGATCCACAAGGGAACCAAGCATGGGATCCTGCTGCAGGTTGTATGTAGCTTGACTTCAGAGCCTGTCGTGATTTCAAACTCGACTTCAATGTCAGTCCATGGCCATTTTGCATTTGTCCGTTGACAACTTGTCCGACGCTATAAACTTTGGCATGGTTCTCTCATTTCAAAAACACGCCCCCAAGGGAATACCCCTCCCCATGGAAATACAACCCAGGCCATCCCAGATTCCCCCGGTTGTTCTGCCACTATATCATAGGGGAGTCTGAGCATATCCTCCTATGCATCCTTTTGCTTAGGCTCCGCCGGATATCATCGCAGCGCTGCAGTGGTGATAATCCTGGTGTACCTCATTGAAGCTCGCTGCGGCTACTGGCTCCCTTCGCACTGGGGGTTCCTTGACTTGAAATGGCATTGGGTCAGATGGAATGGGAATCGTCGCATGGTCACATGAAGGTGTCCTGCTTTTGATCACTGACTGATTATTATTCAGGTTGGCAGCAGCCTGTGCCTACAACCTCACCGTTGCGTTTGGCACTGAACTGTGCGACATGCTGGACCAGTGGAAGAGGGAGTTTCAAGGTCAATCTCCACTTGGACGTACCACATCCGTATCCGTGAAGGGCCCACCCAAGCCGAAGCCGAAGGCGAAGGCGATGCCAAAGGAAGAACATGAAGCGGTGACCGTTGAGGAAGAAGAAGATGAAGAAGACTGGGATACAGCCTTCAGCAAGATGGACTATGACCGTGACCGTGACCATAAGTCTGAAGAGCCCATGAAGGTCGAGCCGAAGGAGAATTGGAGGACATGGATTGCCACTAGGCTTACAGTAATGAGTAACGAGCAACAATGCATTCATGACTCATGACGTTCTATTCAAGTCGCGCCCATCACCTGACAACTTAGGACAAAGACAAGACTGCCGATGAGGAGAAGGCCGCATCATCTTTGTCACCGCCTCCAGAGAACAACCTCTCATTGATCACGATGCTCCCGCCGGACGTGCAGTGCAACCTGCAAAGGTTGCAGCTCCAAGAGAACGTCATTGCCGTTCCTTGGATGCATCTGCTGCTTCTCCCTGTGAGTTTGCTTGTGAGTTTTCTTTGAGTCGACTCTGTTTTCCTGTTCAAGTTGTCAATGTCAAACTGTCCAAGGGCTTCATCGGTCTCTGGAACTACTCAG